GGAACGAAAGTCTCTTGGGTGGGGATGTAAGCCACCGTTCATGACCTCGGGCTGCTTTGCCTGACAGCTAGTTCTTGCCTGGATTCGTTGGAGCCCTACGGGACTTCTTTTTGGGTTGCGTGACATTTTCCAGGAGCACCACCAGTGGCGCATACACCCTGGGACTATTTGTTAGAGGCAAGGAGGTAGCTTCGTCCTCTTCACTGACAACAATTTGACTGCCTTCAGCATCCCTCGCTATCTCTGGATCATCAGTCAGCGCTTCTTTTTTCTTACCTTCAGCATGACCAGCTTCTTGGCCTTGCAGGCCTGAACCACCAGGTTCTTCCATGGCCAAATCCTCTTCAACAGCAGGAGAGGAAACGGTAACAACCAACCTTTTCGCAGACGGTCCCTTTCGCAGTCAGTGCTGCTCGCTAAGGGGAGGAGGGCTCGGGCTGGATGTTGCTGCTTGGAGCCACTGCTTCTTCATTAGCGGAACTGCTGTCAGGCACTGAGACCGTGCTGGGCAGAGGGCCAGAGGAGTTGTTGCCCTCCAAGTTCGCACCGCCATACATCATAGAAATAGATTTTGTGTAAGGCTTCGAATTGATAGTCCTTGGCATAATTTATCGCGTCGCTTTGACCAGGTGGATACCAGACTGTGCTGCCTATCGTAAACCTCGTACCTCAAAGATTTCCGGCAGAATCCTTAAATTACATAAAAAATAAAAAGCTCAATTGCAAAGGAATAATAATATATATTAAGGGAAATAAATAACATAGAAAAGAATATAATAATATTTCTAGCGACAAATTTTTTATTATCGTACGATATATATATTTTCGTGGATAATAACTATATTTTTATGAAATAATAAATTCGTATTTATATATAAAACTTTATTGAAATCATAAATATTTGATGGAAATGCAATTTTTCGTACGAAATATATTATTGTATGAAAAATGCAAAAATAATCATTTCATTTTCAGGAAACCAAAAACAAGGATTCCTCTGGAATTATAATAATTATCCCATTTTGTAGAAAGGCATTTGAAAAACAAATTACATATGAATTTATATATATGAATGAATATGACTATTGAAATATAGATTAAAATTTCGTTTTTTAATGTTATTTGCGAAATGCAGGCCAGAGTGCGATTTCTCTGGCGTATGCGCAATCCTGCGCGGAGATCGCGCGCATGTCGAGTGCGCGAAATGCATGCGAGAGTGCGATTGGGCCCTAAACATATCCATAAAATCTTTGCACTTCAAGAAACCTTGATTAATCTCCATCCCAATCAACCAAACGGAAAATAATAAAACGAATATAAATATTCAATCAAATGGATGTTTTGCAAAAACACAGGTAAAATCCCATGAATTTCCGCTATCCAAAATTATCATCCAAAATTCAAAAACATAATGTCTTTAACATCCTAATTTTAACGAATATTCCAAAATTCAAAATATCAAACAAAACATCAATAATTTCCAATATAAAAAAGATCCTTACCATAATATATCACGTTAGAATGCGGAAATTACGACCCCCTCCCTTAATATAATATAACAACTTTAAAATACTAAATCAAAGAAACATTCAATTAATATATTAACTTATATAATTATGAAATTCAATTGCATTACAAATACAACAATAGGAAAAACATATATAAATTACAAAAATATTATAAAATATCTAATATAAACCTTTTCAAAAACCTATAAATAAAAAAAACTATTATTATTAAATATTTAAAACTATTTCAAATTTTAAATATTCAAAAATCTTCAAACGTAAAAATTAAATCAAAAATTATTATCCTTCTTTTTCTATTTTTTGTTTTGTTTTATTTATTACTTTTATATTTATTTATAATTTTATTTAAACAAAATTTAATATTATTTCATTATATTATCAGAATTTATTAACTATTAAAAACCCATTTCCAAACGAAAACTTAAAAATACATTTCCATTCTTAAAAACATATATTTATCCATATCTTTTTAACTAAATTTTTTAAATACAATCCATATAATTAATTATAACCATTAAATAAAGAATATTACTTGAGGCCAGAGGGAGTAAACGAAAGCTAGCCGGGCCTCCTCCTTGTCCAAACAAGTCGGGGGCGGGCTGCACAGTCACTTTCATTAGGTAATTGCCAATCCACTTGCAAATATTATAGAAAACTCTAGAGAAGTAGTATTAGTATATACTTTATGGTGCGTCGAATCTCATTCAGTAAACAATTGCTACCTAACAAGAGCAACTTTTGTTTGGTGCCGCAGCAGCAAAAGACCACGCAACGGCAGCAACAGCATACCAACCAGAGCCGCAGCAGCAACAAAGCACCATCCAACAACAATAGCAGACCACCCAAGGCCAGCAGCAGTAACAGCAAATAACCCAACGCCAACACCAACAACCCACCCAGCGCAACAACAGCACCAACAGACCTCCCAGTAGCAACAAATTGCCCAGCAGCAACAGACCCCCCAATAATAACAGCACAAGCTTCAAATGACTCCACGCCGTAACTAATCGCATACGCACGGGTCGTCTATTCCTACTACTAACGCTAGGTAATCTGCTATTACTATTACTCTAGTCTTTGTGGTTTGTTATAGCTGCTTAATAATAGACTACAAACGCTTGGTGTATTGCAACTACTTAATAACCCCGCTTACTACGCGCAAGGGAGAATCGAACCGCGGGAAGGAGGCCCATAAGATTAATTTAATCAATTATTTAAGGTTTCTAAGGCGCGTACACCCCGTTATTTAACTTGTTAAAGCAAAAGTAACTCCAGCTAATTAAAACTAATTTTCGTAATTACTATCACCCCCATTATTGCTACTAACGATAATTACCACTACCACTACGCCTACTACTACGTCCACTACTACTACTATAACTATAACAACGACGATTATAACAACAACAATCCCGACACCAACAACGACAATACACAACCTCAAAATACCTGTCCATTACCTCCGAAATCCTCCGACCAATACACGAACTCATAACCAACGCCTCAATTTCCCAACAATTTAAATACTTACATCCAAAACGTCTTCCAAAAATTTATTCCCTCAATTATTTTATTTACCACTTACAAACAATTACGAATATATAAACAACGTTAAGCGATTAATTATTAACCTTTAAATTCGAAAACCCTTTAATATACATTAAAAATATCGATCCCATCAAAAAAAAAAAAATAATAAACTATATATATATATATATTAATAATGCATTATAATTATTATATATTTTGTATTATAATAAAATCGAAATACAACTCAAAACCACACATGCTTTTATTCCCCATCGAAAGAAATGCTATTCAATATAAAATAACAAGAATACATTTTTAATCCCAACCAAGCATTATATTTTATATTTACCCCGTATCCCATAAATTCTAAAGCACTTGAGAAGGCTTGCGTTTTTTTGTTAATCGTCGATGCTGTCTCGATCACCCAGCTGGGACTGCCTCCAAGCAGTCCGCCTTAGGCTGCCACACTCCGCATGGCCGCGGCTGGTTGCCAAGTCGACGGGGGAAGTTGAAAGAAGTGAGTCGGTGTGTCGTTGCGCAAGGCCCTAACTCGGAATCTGGTCCCTAAAATCGAGAGGGAATGTTCCTAGTAGCTTCTTGTTCCTACTAGTAAGGCACTTGTTACTAGAAGCGATGCACTTGTTCCTAGTAGCTTCTTGTTCCGAATGGCAATAAAATATCCAAAAAAGTTAGGGCCACGGTCTGCGGGAAAAACACCGTGTTTTTTGGATCCGAAAGCAGCTTAAGAGAAACTAACGGAAAGGATATCACAAAACAACTCTACTCAGAAGAATGCTTTTGGGAAGGCCTAGGCCAAGCAGTTGCACTCTTCTTAAGAGTTGCAGGAAAAGTACACCCACGAAAGGTGGGAATCCAATGGCTGACCAGGGTCAATCCGCGTTGTTTTCATGCCTGACCGTTCACCGCACACTTTCTTTCACCTAAACAGGTTGGAAGCAGCTCATGAACAGACCGGCCTCTAAGTCTCTCAAGCGGTGACCCATGTCAAGTTGCCACCAGATCCGAAGAATCAGCTGCGGAACAACATAAGATCTCCCGTGTCTGATGCAACAACTGCGATACTATCATGCAGCAACAGGATTTCGAGGAAGTCAGAAGCTTTGGTTTGGAAAGGTATGATGCAATTTTGCTCAACAGTCAAACATTACAGGGAGAGCCTCAAGTTGTTCAAAAGAGTTAAGGAAAAGGAAAGGAGCCAGAGACGCAAATTTGCTTTGTTGAAGCAGCACCTGACTGGTTGCAAACAGCTCCAAGGTGGCACTCAAATCTGAAAGACATCAGAACCACTCAAAAAAAGGCCTGCTTCCAACAAAATTGGCCCACTTAGCTTCGATGAAATGACAATTCTAGTTGTCTTCAAAATGAGGGCACAAGCCGCGGAGGCTATGCGCCATGGCAATCATAAAAAAAGTATCACGCTCTAATAGAGTGACTGGTCATCAAAAGACCAGCAAGGACGTATGCACGAGCATTTCTTGATCAAAACAGTCATCACACATTTCAATGTGAATCTCCTTTCTGAGCTTTGTGTGGTGTCTGGCCTGCTAAGACTGATTCTCTTCCAATAAGGCAGTCTGTGTCTTGGAATATGCCGACCCTTCAGTTGAACGAACAACAGAAAGTCACCACAGAATGCCTATGCAAGAAATGATTGTATCGTTCAGATGGATAATCCACACACATCTACAATCTACAGGAAAAGCCGGAAAAGGCCAATGTTTGTGCTAGTAAGACAAACTAAACTCATGTTCAACACATCCATGTTGGCTGAGAGGCCAGCCTCGCTCGGTGAACACGTCCCGAGTGACACTTGATATCGACTCACCGTCCAGACACCCGCTTTCAAAGACTTGGGCCGTATGTGACTGGACGACTGAACACTCTGGGACCGCTGACTTGCACCATTTCTTCTTGTTGTGTCACGAAACTCGCTCTTCTCCAAGTCTTTGAAAGCCTCACAATTGTTCGATCTTGTGCTCCACGATCCTCACCCTGCACCCATCCGCACTCGGCCGCCGGGAGAAGTCACACGTCGCAGAACTCCGCATCTCTACAGGTGTGACCGTCCTGAGCAGGTCAAGCTACCTCGTAGGGACCCGAAACCAAACCCGGATTCTTAGGAGAAGGTCATTCTTATTAGGTTGAAAACCTTCGCTACTAGGTTGGAGGCCTTTGCTAGTAGGTTGGAGGCCATCACTAGTAGTTGGAGGAATCGCTAGTAGGTTGGAGGCCTTCAGGAAGCTAGCGTCCACTTGCAAACCGAAGACTTGTGTGGCTCCGAAAACTCATCTGCTCAAATGAACAGCTCGTGCCTTTTTCGGAGGTGCCTGACCCTCCTTCTTTCAACACAGTTGCATCAAACAGGACAAGCGCTGTTTGAGGATGGGTGAAGTTCTGCGCTTGTTCTGTTCTGCGCTTTCACAGGATCAGGTCAGGCTGGCTGTAACGACGTTGGCGGATCAGGTCAGGAATTGGCGGCATTTCCCACGCTTTGCGACATGAAGCAAAAAGATCAGTGAAGAAGGAGCGCTTCCGACTGACGAAGCGTTTCTCTATCCTGTGTCCAGTTACTAGAAGCGTGAGCGCCTAAATAAAGTGAGGAGGCAAGGCCATCGGCTAAACAAAGTTCTCTGCGTAGCTTCAAAAGGTGAACACATCGAACCTTGTAGAACCTCCCGTGTTTTTGTTAAATTGGAGACCAGAAACATGGACAAACAAGAAACATCTTCTTGAACACCCGACCTTCTTTCTAGCTCTCTTCACCGGTGGTATGCTCCAAACCTTTTGGTGCCCGTGCACATGAGCTCACCATCGCTTGACACTGGGAGGCACAGTGCCATGCCAAGCATCTCCATGGGAACAGTGTGCAAGCTGTTCTCGGTCTTCCGATCAAAGGCATCTCTGCGTCGCTCGATCAGCTTCTCGAACCTGAGCAAACGTGCAGCTGCAATCCATGAACAGCATCGACAGCAAACCGCGATCAGCACGAGCAAGTTTGAAGCGGGGACTTTCATCCGAGCTTCTAACCAGAATGGCTTGCCTCTTGAAGCACCTCTTACATGGACTCATAAAGTGGAAAACCGCAGAAAAAATATATCAAACCTCTTGGTCTGTCTGACCTCTACCTCTGTTCTAATCCTCCTGACCTGGTTGATTTGTACCAATGTTCTTGCGTCCATCTTTGCCATTTCTTTGCATTTTCTCCAACATGTGGAGAACCGGCTCGCAAGCAAGTCACCCCCATAAACATTTTGAAAGGCTATCGGAGCGGCTATCGGCTGTGTGTGTGTGTGTGTCTGTGACTTGGAGCCTTCTTGTTGGCTCCAAACAAAGAACAAGCGTTATATATGCATATATGTATGTGTATGTATTTGTGTGTGATGTCTTTCAACATATGATCTGAATCAAGGTTGTTTGAGCACCATGGACCTCATCCATATACCCCTAGTTATTATACAGACCAGTCTATCTGGGTCAAGAATGCCGGAGTAGAATCTCAGCAACTCGGCTTCCAGAAGTTGTGCTCAAGATTACGCCTCGTTCTCTCCCTTTCCATCTCCCAACTGTCCTCACCTCTTGGCACAACTTTGCTGATTAGCTCTTGACTTCTTATCATCTAGAGTGCAATGCCCTATATATAGATCACCTCCAACTTCCCTCCCATCCTAGCAACTCCTCTGGCACCTCCTGGACAACTTTCTGGAAGGCCTTCCAAAAAACCAAACATCTGGAAATTGGAAACAAGGTGCAGGACAGCTTGCGAAATAAATGTAACACATGGTGCTTTGATCTAGTACTGCAGTCGCAGGATTTCATGGCATCCAAAAGCTTCACCACATCCTCATGAAAAGAAAAACACTTTCCAGAACCGGCCATTGCGACCTCCTTTCTGCAGCCAATCTCTTCCACGTCATTTCTTTCACAACCTACTCTGAAAAAGACCGACAGAATAGCTGGCATCTTCTCTCCTAGAAGAGATAGTAGTTTGAGGCCTGGGAGAATAGATGCTCCACTCCGTGACAGTCTAATGCTTGCTGCTGTATCAAGCATTTCAAGCATTTCCGTAAGCAGCTTGGATTGCAGTTTCACCAAAATTCTACAGTGGTAGTGGTAGTGGTAGTAGTCGCAGCAGCAGCAGCAGCAGCAATAGTAGACTAGGCTTAGACTTGGACTTGGACTTAGACTAGACTAGACTAGACGACTACGACTACGACTACTACTACTCCTGCTGCTACTACTACTACTAATTGAACTTGTGCTTGTACTTATACTGGTACTTACTTCTATAGTAGTACTGATCTATTACTTGCTACTACAAGTCAGTGTCTATACATACTACCTACTGGAGTATGATCTAGTATGCTTCTATGTTTCAACGCCTTATGACCGACCGTGAAACCGAGCGCGGTTGGCCTTCCAGTCCTTTGCGAAGACATCTGCAGGGTTTTTGGCCATGGCTGGAACGGACAGAAGTCGGATCGAGCCAAAGAACATCTTTTAGAAAAGCTGTGAGTCAATAAGAAAATCGAAGATGACCTATATTTCTGGATCTCAAAAAAAATGTCAGCTTTGACCAAAGGGACCCCTTTGAAAATGGGTGGATAGATCAATTTACGTGGGTCTCTGACCGTCGAACACCTGCAGCTAAATCTTCAACGACCTCCCGCAAAAAGACCCGACTCCATATTTGTAAGCAGCACACCACCATCACCAAAAAATATCCACCCAATCTTCCTTGCATCGCACATATTGGTAAACAAAAAATACAAACATATTAATATGCACCCAAGACGACGATTGTCGTAGAGCCACTGCAGACCACATCGCATTGAATCATCAGCCTCATATACTGTATATATATATATATATTTACTGCGAGGGGACATGCTTTGGAAGCTGGAAATCAATAGTTTTCGTGGCCTCGAAATTGGTGCCCTGTCGCAGTCACGCCTTTTTGCCGCAGCGTTTAGGAAGCCTTCCGAGTGCTAATCACAATGGCAGGGATGAAGTCGGCGCAGGACATTGACAAATAGGCCCATGCCTTCCGAACGCAAATCACAATGGCAGGAATGAAAATAGGCCCAAGCAGTGGCCAAATAGGCCCAAGATGGCAAATCGCAATGTCAGTGATGAAGTAGGCCCAAAGATTCTCTGAAATAAGTTATCTTTTAACTTTTCTCTTTAAAATTCAGAGACTTCTTGGGCCACCGTTAGAAATTGCTCCCGAACGCTTGGTCCTATGCTTGGGCCTATTTCATCTCTCACATTGTGAGTTGTGTTCGGAAGGCTTGGGCCTATTTTGGCGACTTCTGCTCCCTACCATTAGGAATTGGCCAACACCCTTACCTTTTTCAGACATTGAGACAATCGTCCCCCACGATGAGAGGACGAGCGCCAAATCCTCCTCTTACGCGAGTTATCCGACTTTGAACCAACAGCAAAACCCCACGAGCCGCTATGTCGCCTGCTGGGCGATGGCGGCGGCGCTGCTCGTCGGCGCTGATGTGTGAACTCGTGGAGGCGAGGCCGCTCGGCTGTTAAAGCCGGTTCTGCTAACTTCATGGCCGGCGCGGGCAATTTTTGTGGAAGCGTGGGCTATTCCTGGGCCATTCCTGGGCTTGTTGTTTTTGAAGAACATAATTGTTGCAAAGTCTGGGCAACCTTCGCAGAAATTTGTGGAAGGTGTTTAGATGTACTAATTTCCTGAGTGATAAAGCAATCTTGGTGCACCCTTTCCCGCTCACACCCTGCGGTTTCCCTCCTTATGAGAATCATAGACGCTTCATGCCCCAGGCGCTGTCGCTACTCGGCAGTGCTGTTTGGCGGCGTGAAATTGTCTGAAACAGAACCCAGCATGCTTCGTGCGCATGAAGATCTACGTGCTTCGAGCTCGCATCACGACCATGAAAGACATCAAGCCCTGTGCCGCCTGTTTCTCCATTTGGGTCCTCGCGCAAGGACGCGATGTGACGAAATTTGCGGGGCAGGCATTTCCTCCGATTTCGGAAAGGCAGAATGCAGTGACCACTTTCGAGCCACCCTCCTGAGAAAGAGTTGACACTCCAGACCTGGTAATTCAATAGGCTACTCTCAAAACGGTCTTTTCCCAAAGCAAGCCACATGGATGTTTCCTGTTACACTTCTTCACTACAAATCCCCCATGCCCCCTTGTAATCAATGTTAGTAAGCGACACGGTTGCTGTTATACATGAAACAAAGCGGCCACCCCCATATCATGCCTTCAACATTGCTTTCAGGGGGGTGCGGGGGATGTCAGTGTTCAATCACGGAGCTTGGTACTTGAGGAAGAGATAGCTTCAATACTTGTGACTGGAGGTGGGCTTGAGAATTTGTAATTGGCTGAGTCTCTGCGTGAAATTTATAAGTAGCCGGAGGCATCCGCAAGTGTACGGAAGAGAAGGAAGAAAGGAAACATATTGCAGGCGGCTGTCAATTTGCACCAGGTCACACCACATGATTCTTGTGACAATTAAAGCCAGTCTCTTTTCTCTTTTCCAGCAACCCGAACAGAAGGAGGAGCAATTGAAACCGGGAATGGTATTCCATGGGGTCTGTGATTGGTGTTCTATTTTGTTTCGGAAGAACAAGCATATGTTATGCTACGATCGGGTGCATCGGCGGCCAAGAAAACAAGTCCGCGTTCGCAGGCCTTTTGAGGCTTCAGACTCTCGGGCCCCGGTTGTGTGTGTGTGTGCGTCGAGGCAACGCTAGCTATGTGCCAATCTTCTTCCACCCCTCCATTGACGTCAATTCACCCAGAAATACCACTGTAAAGTGGAATGTTGGTAGCGGCGCCTATACTGGAAACATTTGAATGTGTGATGCTGCGCAAACATTTGCGCTACGGACAGGATTTGGTATATGCAAGGGAGCCTCATGCCAAAGAGCTTTTTCCCGAATGCGTAGCGAAGGGTTCCCGTTTATAGTTGGGGGTCTGGGGGTTGGAGCTGTGTTTGCATGGCTTGCGTCGTCTGTCGTCGTCTGTCGTTTGCATGGATGTGTCACGTGTCAGTTTGCGCCGCTGTTCCATTGTGATTTGCATGACAATGACATGTCGCGCAAGAAACGTGATGCATTTCGCTACACAGGCGCAGCGTTTTGTGAGATCCGCAGATTGCTGCGCAGTTCCACTGGGATTAGCGTTTGGAGAGTTGTGTTTTCGGGGTGTTGGATGTGGCCGTGCCATTGGGATTTGCGTTTCAGGGTGTGGCACCGAAGCACGGTTTTCGTGACAAGTCTCAACGTGTGGTGTGGTGCAAATTTTGTTGAAGCTCACATGAGATGATATTGTCACTTTTCGTGGCAGGCGCAGGACTTTGTGCGGGTTTTGAGGCGTGGAAGTGCGATTCTCGTGGCAGGCGCAGGGAATCGTGAGGTTGCGAGGTGTGACGGAGGTGACATTTCGTGGCAGGCGCAGTACTTTGTGCGCGTTAGACGTGTGGACGCGGAAAGATTCGTGGCGGGAATCGTGAGGTTGTGAGTTGTGGTAGAGGTGAATGTCGCTGTCACATTGGGATTGGCGTGTGCGCGGATGTTGTTTGGAGGGGCTGGAATCGCGAAACTGCTTGGCAGGGCTGCGTGATGTGTGTGCTCCGATGGGTGTTTCCGCTTGACTTTTGGAGGAAGTCTCGTACGAAACGCTCGTTTTGCAGACTTTGACGTGTGAGTTTTTGAGGAAGTCTCGTAAAAGTAAGGCCAGAAAGCGGATTCACCTTTGGCACCGCTACGCAGACGCAAAAAATCACATTTTGAGCAACCATTCACCTCACGCTAGCTTGGGCCTCAGGTTTGGACCTTCTGGCAAAGTTTGTCGTACATTGCCGACAAATACAAAGATCGGAAGCTGCTCGGGTTAAACTTTGATGAGACGTCCGTAGCATGTGCGCCACAGTGTCCGACTGGGTACATCGTTTCTAGAAAGCGTTGGAAGGTCAATCCATTTTGCACAGCGCGCAAAGAGGCCTTGGGTATCAAGCCCGGTTAAGCCTTGGAGCCGTTTTCCACTGTGCTTTTTTGGCCAAAGGGTTGCTGACGCACAGTGACGAAAAGCTTTCCTGTAGGTCAAGAAGCGTAGTCGGCTGATGAAGAAGGCGCAAGGCCTGACGGTGGCGGACCTTGCTTGGCTAATGGCCCAACGTGCTTCCGAGTGAATGCGGCCAATTGCAGAACCTTGGTGAAGCCATGCAGGGGTGCAGCACTTTGGATTCTACTTCAGGGTGCTCTTCGCGCAATGGTCTCTGCGATCTTGCGACCGGGCGAAGCCCGGGTGTGGACGCATGTGTCACTTCGCTTCTAAAAGAAGCAATGAACCGTTCATTGTACACGCACGCTTGCTGTCACTGAGCTGGCGGTGTCACTAGAATCAAAAAAGGCCACCGTATGAATGCGTGCTCCTTTCAACCATGCTGGCACTGTATGTATACACATAAATAAATAGTACTATTCTCATTATAAAAGTTGAATTTAAACCAAACATAGGTTCTAGTTTAGAATAGGCTAAGCAGCAATGACTTCAAACATTAACACAGGTACAGTAAATATTCAAAGAGATTGCCATTTGGGAGGATTCATCCCCTATTGTTTTTGCTTGTTGCAATTTTCTAACTCCTTTTCAATACTTCCATTCAACTTGTTTCTCTCTTGATAGACCCTCGGTTAGTTAACGTGAGTCAAAACCTATGTTGAACATCTTCGCTTGATTACAGATTCTATAAAGTAATTCTCATTTTGGCTGCAGGACTTCTGGCTCTTTGGCATTGCTGTGACCAACCTCGAGCATGGGCGGGTATGATAGCTACACAACCAGCACTCCAGCAGACGTCATCTGAGACAAGGACAATCAGTCTTCTGCCTGTGCGCTGAAGCGGGGGGCAAACAAAGGCAAATTTTGCTTGCTTCTTGATGATCGCCCCCAAGCAAGAAAATGGGCTGAAGAAAGGCCACTTAGTTCTGTGGTAGCCCAACATGCATGCCCCAACCCAACCGCCTCCTCCGCCTCAGCTGCCGCGGCAGCCGCCGCGATGGCGGCGGCCACATGGTCCTGGATCAGTTTCGAGAGCAGCAAAACAGATCCAGACAACATACTAGTAGCAAGGCACCTTACTAGTAGAAGCAAGAAGCTACTAGTAGCGAGTTGCCCTTACTAGTCGTAACAAGCTACTAGCAGTAAGGCACCTTGCCACTAGTAGCTTCTTGACTTGACCCGGTGATGGCAATTCCATTGGAGCTGCGGACGTGAGCCCGTTCGGGAGGTGTTTCTGTTTTTGTCACGTCACTGTCACACTGTCGCCCACTTGCCATGCTCAAACATTGGTTGATCCAGCTGAGCACACTTAATTCAACGAAAGACTGGGTTTGTAAAGCAATAGAATCTCCAACCTAGAAGCGATGGCCTCCAACCTACTAGTGATGGCCTCCACCTAGTAGCGTCCTTTTAAAAGCACTTAAACCATAAAGTGTAGAATCTTCCAATCCTAAGCAACCTTGGTGCCGACTGCGTCAGTGGGCAATTCAGGTGCTCTTCTTTCACGAGGTCAAATGTCCAGTAGGTCCAACATTTGAATCAGGAGGGCTCGAGTCAGGATTTGCGATCCGATTGTTTCTGTCACTTTAGTTCTTTCTAGCAAAAATCGTGTGCCTGTGCCCACTTTGCTCCACGGCAAGTCTTCAATTTGCACCCTATTCTGGAGGTGTTTGCACCCATGGTGAATCATCAATTCCATACCCCTCCCACGAGCATAAAAAAGCGCCGCTTTTCTCAGACGCCTCAGCCGGAACCTCCAAGAAGTTCATCTTGGATGCGTCCAGGATCACGTCGCTCTCGTCGGCGCAGGCGAACTCAAAGGGTGGCACGAGGTCAAACCTGAGCCGGGTTGGATCTCATCTTGCAAGGCTCAGAGTCAACGGTGCCGGCGAAATGAACCAAACCAGCACGTGGTTCGGATCCGAAGTGTTTGCGGAAACTGACCATCCCCACAACAACGGACTTGCAGGCGATTCACGTACGGTGTGGTTCTTTTTGATCGCGTGAAAACAATCTTTTTGGAATTTGCGGATGTTTCTCTAGTTTGCTGATTCCACCGGCCTTTATACACAAGCTACGGACGTTTATTGGTGAGCCACGGTCGCTTTTCCCGAATGTGTTTTTCAGCGGATAATGATGTGGCTCACAGACCCAAATAAAGGTATGTTGAACTACTGGCCAAAAGAAACAACCACGAGGTTGCAGGCATGTATCTCAGTGATTTGGCCTGACCTTTGAGTTGACCTATGGGTGGTCAACAAAGGTGCATGCCTTCTCAATGGGTTCTGTGTTGCCCTTGTGTTGCCGCCACCTCCTCCATCTGGACTTAAGCAAGGCCTATTGATGTAGAAGTGATCCACTCACATCGAATTGCAGTCCGCCTATGTTTCACAAGGTTGGAGGCCATCGCTACTAGGGTGGAGGCCAACATGTTTTCTTCACATGGAAGCATGGGCTCGCCCATGGGTTTTGTCGGTCGTTCTTCAGCGTCGGAAAGAACCTGCCCAAACCGTGCCGTGCTCGTGTGCCGTGCTTTCGGGCTGTGTGTTCAGCTGCTCCCACGAAGTTTCACCTGGCCAGGTCTCCCAAAAAACCGCCGAAAAGAAGTAGACCCAAAAGGTACAGAAATCGAGATGATCATCTTTGTAGAAAAAACAGGTCTAGAAAAGGACAGGAAGAAAGGTCTAAAGCAGAAAAAACAACACGGAAGAAAGTTCTCAAGCAGAAAAGACCAATCATGAAGAACGGCTAAAGGAAAAAAGTCCAAAGAACAACAACATAACATTAAGAAAGGTATAAATAACAAAAAGAAAAAAGGATCACAGGTCTGAAAAACCCGAACAATGGTCTAACGCAAAAAAGGAAAAAGGGTCCACGAACAAACATGAACAAAAAGGACCTAAGGTCTGAAGAACAAATGAAAAAACACAAATAAAAGGTGCAAAGAAAGAAACGGGCACAGAGATGATTTCAACATTATCATCCGGACACCGTCACGGCTCACCCGGCCGAGACACGGCCACTTTTCACAAACATGCCAGAGTGAGCTGGTCGGCACGATCAAAGGCACACCTTCAGGCAAACCTGAGCAGCAGAGCTTCGTAAAACCTTTGGACCCAAAAGCTGATTCCCAAACCCTTCGGAAGTGCCCATCTGAAGTCGGGAGATGCTTTTGCCCTGCCTGAAATCCCAAGATTGAAAGACTCTTAGACAGGTTTTGCATGTTATCGTTCTCGCTTGGTGTATTGGCTAACATCCACGTTTTCTCTTTATTTGTGCAGTCTGCCGAAAAGCGAGGAAACCATAATTACCTTTCATTTCTTGTTGAGAATACGGAGCCAGTGTCGCTTCTTTATAGAACACATGGAATAGTCATGTCCAAACAAGACATTTTCCTCAGTCTCACTGAAGGTCTGAAGGTTGCGAGCTACTTCTGTGAGGTTCCCCCCTTCGAGACCGAAAGAAACATCCAAAAGGTCGTACGTCGTGATCGGCCAGAGGTTGCGGACTCCGAAAACACCAATTGAGCAAAGGCTGGGCCAGAATCACTGGATGTTTGTTACGCTGCACTCACCATCCATCCCGGGAACGGTGAGATATCAATGACGTCACTGACGTCGATCGGAAAACCTGCGTCGATAGCATGCGGCATGCAGCCCAAATGGCCCATGGCTCCGATGAGCAAAATATGCCCGGCAGGCACTGCAAGAGAACCGTCTTGGCCCTGGCAGGTGTGGGGAGTTGGGTGGAGGCCATCGCTATTAGAAACAAAGATGAAAGAAAAGGAAGAAAGGTCTTATGTTCTACAAATATTCAGGTTGGAGGCCATTGCTATTGGGTGTGGGGAGTGCAGGTGTGTGGTTCCAGACCCTTCTTGCGAAGGCAAAGATGGGCTGGACATGGCTGTGCCCATAGATTGGGTGTCTCACAACATTCGAAAATAAGCCGAAAGAAAAGCTGCAATGATGGCCTCCAACCTAGCAATGGCCTGCAACCGGCGATGGACTGCAGACGGATCCAAAAGGCAAACGTGACTTCGGAACGTCACGGATCCGCCACATGTCCAATGGAAGTCAAGTGAAGAGATTTCCAAAAGGGGGGGGCTAGTGGAGAAAACCGGACCTTACCTAAAATTCTTCTTGCATCTTTTTATCCTTCTCCTTTAGGCTTTGCTCCGCGCTCAATCTTTGCGATTTCTTTGCTGGACTGGGTTCTTCGACGCGCCTTTTTGCCGTTTGGATCAACGGCCTCCAAATTGACCAGAAATGGGATGCAAACATGCCAGGATGACCGGCGGCAACCTCAGCCCCAAAGACCGTGCGACGGGCTTCACAGAACACTCTCAAAAACACCGGCGATGGGCTAGACGGAGGAAAACTAACGAAGTTATGGCACCACCTGTTTGTAGGATTTCATGGTCCGCCATCCACTTCCATTCTGGGTTCATCGTGTATATCAAATGAAACGCGAAACTTCCGGCCCGATTGCCACTACATCTGAAGACTGCAGGCTCCGACTTCAGAGCACCAGTGTTTGCTTCAGAACACCTGCTTCAGGAGCTTCGCTCTGCTCCGATGCCCGGCATTCAGACACCCTGAATACAACAAACCTGGGCATGCGGATCAACAAAACCTCAACTTCACAGCCATTTGGCAACATCTGCAAATGAAAATCCGGCTACAGAAAAGACTGCAAAGGAGCCGACAGACATATCCGGAAGACGACCTACCTAACCATTGTGTTTCCTTCACTTGTCTCCCATCCTGGATGGAACACTCAGGAGGCATCCTTGATGTTTTGGGGGTTCCCCTCCGTCGAACATCGATCCGTACCACTCTTCACCCTGCGACCTGGGTGAACCCCGCACGCAGGGCACCAGGACCGTCCCTGCCGGCATGGACTCCATGTCTTTGGGGAAGAACTCAGGAGCCTCACCCGGCGGACCCACGGTACGACCTTTTGCGATGTTCCGGTCCAAGAGCATTTCCGGAAGATTAAAGAGGTGTGTGAAAGTTTCCAAAGCTAGCGATGGCCTCCAACCTAAGAGCATGTTCGAAATATTTGTGAAAGAGATACATCCTCATAAGGTCCTTAAACATGTTGCCGAGCGACAAAGTCTTTGATTCGAGCGACGAAAAGTCGTGATACCGTTCTTCGGATCGTTTCTGCCACACAGAGCGAAGCACCGGGAAGGTCGTTCTGCCGAAGCGAAGCACCGGCCTCGGCCCGCATCGATCTCTTCTCCTCACAAAGCGGCCAGGACGAAGTCGCACGTAGCTTCACCAGACGTGAACCATTTCTAGCATCCTTGCTCCTAGTAGCGATGCCAGGAGCCCCTAGCAGCTTCTTGGTTCTACCAAACACCCATGATGTTCTAGATCTTAAACTACAAAACCAGATCAACCTTTCTTTCAACGGTCTTGGAACACCATGAACAACCATGAATAGAATCCATGGATTCTTGTGTATAAACATCGTCAGCAATCTTGAGTAGCATTGAGCTTTTGTGGTGATTGCCGCAGTTCCATCGACTGTTCCGTTCATCCCTTCGTTCCCTTCGTCGCATCCTCGCTCTTCTTCGCCAGCTTGGACCAAGGTGCAGGTGTGGCCTTTTGGTCTGTTAGGACGTCGAACGAGACGGAGGCGGCCGGGTGTGCCACAGTGGTGGCGCTGTTTCGGGTTGGACCCGGAAGACATAGAAAGACAGCCTTTTACTAAGAGCAATGGCCTCCAACCTACTAGCGATGGCCTTCACCATAGAGCCAAGAACGCATATTGACAGTGACACAGCATTGGACTGGGAAATTCATCGGTGTGATGTGCTCGACACCCAAATGGATCGACAAAGCTCTTCCCCATCTCATCACTCACTTAGCTCGAAAGAACAGTTCCCAAATCACTGAAGGTAACTCGCGGACGGGTGCCTTAGGTGACAAGAAAAAGCGATGGCTTCGATCAGTGCAGCGAAGCCAATTTCGAGGTTGACTGTATCAAAACAAACAGGGTGTGCATCAGCTTGGCCATCGTTCGAGGTCGCCGTTTTACGAAGATTATCGATTGTGAAGATCACGCTAGCAGGGCTTTTCATGACGAAGACTTCGAGACATTCCTTCCTGGAGGAATTGATAGAAAGAAGGCCAGTGGTGAAAAGTCCTGAAGTCTTGCGACAAGTACAGAGAGCAAGAGATGCCTAAAAGTAGAGATCTTTGACGAGAAGAAAACAACACATTCCAAAAGTAGAGATCTCTGACGAGAAGTCTCGCAAAGGAGAAACTTCCAAAAGCGAAGGAAAGTCGAGATTTAGAAACAAGAAGCTAGTAGTAACAAGTGCCACGCTAGTAGTAACAGGTGCCTTACTAGTAGTAACAAGAAGCTATTAGAAACAAGAAGCTCCAAGAGAAAAGCTTTTGGACAGTCACACCGCACCGCCCCACGTCTTCGACACATCACATCTATAGTCACAGAACATTTATCTCCAGGATCGGCCTGAGTGGGTTTCTTTATCTAGTAGGTTGGAGGCCATGGAGAAAGAAACAAGCAACAAAAGACCTAAAGGTCACTGAAGGTCTACGGAATACAACGACAAAGAACACAAAGGAGACAACAAGTGAACGTTCCCTCCCCTCTTTTTCTTCTAGCAATTGCTCCTTTCAACTTTCAGTCTCATCAAAGGAATTATTTGCGTGGTTGGCAAAGAATAAAGGGAACAACGAGTTACATAAACAATAGGAAACAAAGGCAGGATACCAAAGAATGTCAAAGGGTCCGCTTAAAAAAAGAGCAACTTCTCAGCGCGGGTCGCACGCGATGGCCGCCCGTGCCTTGGGGAGAGAATCTCGTCTACCTGGTGGTTTCCACACAGAGCACCGGTCCCCTACGGCATTGTTAGTCTTACTAGTAGCAAGAAGCTAGTAGGTGGAGGCCACCGCTACTAGGGTGGAGGCCATTACTACTAGTAACGTGAAGCTACTAGTAGCTTTTTGTCACTAGTAGCGATGGCCTCCACCCTAGACAAGATGTAGCTTCTTGTTACTAGCAGCTATTTGCTCCTAGTAGTAATGCCAGGAGCTACTAGTAGCGTCCTTGCTCGTAGTAGCGATGCCCTTTGTTACTAGTAGCTTCTTGTTCCTGGTGTCCCCTGCGACATTGTTAGTCTTACCAGTAGCCTTTTGCTACTAGTAGCGCAATGTTGGCATGTCAAATGTACAACCTGAATCAATTGCCGTGGACCAGCCTCCGCTTGCGGAAGCAGATGCACTCTGCTTGGCCCGCGGAGCCTCGCACTGCGGAGTGTGGGAGAGGGAGTTTTGGTGATTTGAAGCACTCAGTATGCACTTGTAGTAGCTTCTTGCGACTACTGGAATGCCCTTGCTACTAGTAGCAAGAAGCTCAAAATGTGTCTCTAAAACACGCAATTGACCCACCACTTTTTTTGGAAAGCCTTGTGCTGTTCAGATCGGAGGGTGAAGAACCATCTAAAGGCGAGACATCGCACGGATGCGGGATAGCAAGGGACAAATCTAAACCCTATGCCTATGCTGCATGGAACTGAACAATCTCATCCTGTGATAAGGCCTCTTGTGCATGCAGGAGGCGGCTTTTGCCTGAACCCTACAAATGTACAGAGATGCTAGACCCACTCGAGAAAAACACACTCAAACACTAATGGATGAACTATCTACTAAATCAAATGCAACATGTGTATATCATGGACTAGAAATTCAAGCGAGCTCAAAACCTCGGGTCTTGCGATAGATTGATAGGGAGCAGGGAAGGGCCTAAGGGGATACCAATCCGAGAGCCGCACAGCAACCCTCAAGCAAAGTCAACAACAACACACAAGAACACTTTTGCTTTGGATTACCATCATTGTTTTTTGGGTGAGACTTCTGTTTTAAACGTCATCATCCCCTGAACCGGTGCTGCATCCTCCGCCGAGCAGCTGGAGCCGCGAGACTCTTGGGCGGATCCTGTGCCGGACGAAGAACCCATGGCTGGAGGGGGCATCCAGGCTAGTAGGTTGGAGGCCAATACTAGTAGCAAGAGGACGCTACTAGGAACAAAGGGGCATCGCTACGAACGGAGCAAGGACGCTAAAAAAGAGGCTCCTGGCCTTACTACTAGTAGCAAGGACGCTACTAGGAACAAGTGCATCGCTACTAGGAACAAGTGCCTTACTAGTAGTAACAAGAAGCTACTAGTAGCAAGGCACCTTACTACTAGTAGCAAGGACGCTACTAGGTTCCTTGCATCATAAGGCATTCTGAGTTTGCACCACGTGCGCAGACTGTGCACTGCACCGGGTCGGGTCGGGCGTCCATTCCAGTGCTCGAAGCGGGTTCAGCACATGGAACTCTCCTCGTCCCGTGAATCAAAGGATCCAAGACATTCCTCCAGGTCCGAACACGAGGGTCCAGAACACGACAAGGCACCTGCAGCTCCCGGAACCACCGCACGAGTTGTTCTCGTATGGGCACTCCACGCCTGAGAAGCACGACTCCAACCGAAGGAGACTCGAAGGAGCAGAGCTGACCGAAGGAGCTGAAGGAGCTTCCAACTCTTGTGACGCAAAACGCTGAAGGTCGGAGGCACAATTGTGGGAAGTACTGTGGAGGTAGGGTGTAGTGAAGACGTTGACGTGAACCACGAGCCCCCCAGAGCCCCCCAGAGCCCTGAGAGCCTCGAGAACTCGCTGTCTTCTTGTGGGAAGGGATTGGGATGAGAAGAGGGCAAAGCTTGGGGCGGCTGCTTGACGGCCTGCCTTTTCCACATCAGATCCCTTCCGCCTCAGCAACTTCCGCCGGATGCTGCCGTTCTGCAGGAAGTCCTCGGAATCAAAGACTCATTCAGACAGACTGGAACACATGGAGTTGTCCATAGTCCATAGTAGCCACCAGCTAGTGGAAACAAGACATGAACCACACCCCTTCGCAAGTGCAAACAGCTGTTATTCAGAACCCAACTTGGAGGAGGAGTATTTTAAAAAATGCTTTTGACATACCCTCGCTCCAGCCAATGCACTGGAAAGACCCAGCGACTCCACTCCTATGCAAGCGATGGCCTTCAACCTACAAGAAGACGTTCATCTTGGAGGGTCGACCCTATGCACTGACCTCCTAGAGCAAGGATGCTACTAGGGGCTCCTGGCCTTACTACTAGGAGCAAAGGACGCTACTAGGAACAAAGGGCATCGCTACGAACGGAGCAAGGACGCTACTAGGGGCTCCTAGAAACTCAGTACCCAACCGTCGAACCCATGGCACTGGGTTTCACACCACGAGCGCCTGAGTACTTAATCTCTCCGGGTTTTCTGGCACCTGAGATGCGGCATGTCCCGTGCTGTTTGACCGAAACATTCAACGTGGCCAAGTCTCCACAAACAACAGGTAGATTCTGCGAGTGACGCTCCAAAAAAATAAATAAATAAATATATATATATATATCTGTGGCGAGAGACACATGCAGAGATCGATCGAAAACGACCACTAACTGACCACTAACGACAACCGTTATCACATCATTTTCACGAGATGTTTGGTCCTCACCACTTCGCTGTGCGCCGGCTACGTTTTCTCACAAGACATCATATGACACAGCACGATGTTCCGCCCAAGGTTGCTTCCGACCGCCCAGCTTCACCCTCAACTTGCGAAAAACTGAATCCGTCAGTTTCGCTGGAAATCTTCTGTTGTCCATACCTTTCACCGGCTCGTTTTTGGGAGCGGGAAGGTTTCCCTCATTCCCCCCACCGCAAACATCGGCGACCGGCCGCCGGCACATACGGCCACGCCGCGCCTGCACCTCATCCGGCGGTAGGTCTCGCAACTGTTTGGTCTTTGACTTGGTGGGTCTCTCCTGCCAAGTCCAGATGGAACCCCCTGACAGGTCGGACAGAAGGAACCCCCCACGACTCGATCCACCTTTTGGCCCGTTCCAAAGTGCAAACGCAGAGCTGCGATTTGGAAGTCGCTCTGAACGTTGCGTTTCTTTACGAAGTCTTTGGTCTCCGCTGTGCTTGGAAACAGTCCGGGAAGGAAGCGTTTGCTTAAACACGATGTTGTTTTATGCTCGCAAATGAAGACAACAAAACAACAACATCGTGTTGACCATGTGCAAAAGAGCTGCTTCGTGTCCAGTGCGAAAGAGCTCAGCCTCACCCAACAGAGGGAACGAAGCGCCAGATCGGGAAGTGATACAGCCATTGTGTCACTTAGTCGGCAGTCGAATATTCTTCGTACAAGAGGTAGATGTGGTAGTATCCTCCACTAGTACCGATAGCCTAATACTCCCAAAAAGTTTCTGTGTGATCTAAAGTGTAAAACCGAACCCGTCTTCGCAGTTCAACTGAACTGCTCCCTGAGATCTTCACAAACCTGCATATGCTCGCTTTTATCTCTATGCCATTATCACCCTGCACCACCCATATGTGGAGCATATGTGGTATCCTGTGACAAAATTTGCGTCTCTCCCCGCCCATTTCTCCTGAAACTCGTCCTCGGTGTCAGGCCACACCTGAAGCTCGATGGGAGTGGGTCTCAGCCTTGCACCTTTTGGAAAGAACCGAGTCCAAAACAGGTTGACTCGGGTCCAAAGACAGAGTCGACTCCATGAAAAAGGCCCGCAAAAAGACACCAAAAGGCAAGCCACAAAAAGGCACCACCGCCTATATGTGGCCATTGTCTGAAACCCGAACTGCCATCCCCTCTTGTCAAACCAGCTCGAGTCCTTGCGGAAAGCAACAGATGATGCTTCTTTTCGCTGCTTCACTTCACGGGAAGTGAACTGAAACGCTTCCGTGGACCCCTCGAGTTCGGGACACACCCATCGTCCACGCGGTCGTCCCGGTCGATGGCTTGGCTTTTTCGCCCACGTGTCCCTCATGGTCCCTCACAAACTCCTCTCACTAAAGAACACCAAAAAGAGGTGTCTCTAAAGAAAACCATCAAAAGAAAAGACCGCTGAACCTTTAAAGAGCGAACAGCGAGAAAGCCACGTGTCACAGCGAGAAACCGCTTCCCGACGGTCGCCAGGTTTTCTGTACAGAATAAATAGAGTTTTTCTTTTTCACAATGCGATGTAGCCTCGCTCAAAGGTCTTAAAGAGAAAGGACAAAGGAAGGAAACGCACTAGAGCAAGGAAACCTGTGAACCTCTGTGCGGACTGCGGACCTCTTTTGAGAGCTATCAACCCCACATTGGCTACGACACCCATGTTTTGGCCTGAGGCCATCGCTAAGGTGAAAAAGAAAAACGTACAGTCATCTTCTTTAATCCTGTCAAGTCCAATAGCTTGGCACCGAAACGGGCGCGTGAAGAATGTCCTTGTCCTGATGATGGCCTCACCGACGTTCAGATGGACGCAGGACAAATGCATAGACGTCCAATACAATACAAGGGTATTACCAGGGCCCAGTAGATGATGATGGTTATATAGGTTGCAGGCCCATTTCAAAAATCGTGATAATCATTTTTACCGACGGCTAAGATTCCTGGTTTTGCTGAGACACACCCTAGGCATGGAAGTCCAATACGTTTGCCAATCTCAGGCGTCTGAGGCTGCAACCAGCTTGCGTCTGTGCCGGAAAATGTACACTCTCCTCCACAACCTGCAGGGGATCTCAAGTGGAGTGACACAAGGAGTGTGATGAAAAAACAAGAACACGTTGAAATGACATGAGAAAAAAGCCTGAAGCGAGCTGCACAAAATTCTGATTGCTTCATGCCCAAAGGACAACAGTGCTCAGACTTGAGTTGCAACTCTTGTTGAAGAATCCAACTGTCCCAACATATTGAGCTCATGCCCTAAACGTCATAGCTCGGGAAATCACGTTCGTCAACCCCATACTGCTGCGAGTGGCATCACCCGCAAGTGGAGAAGTAAGCCCAGGGAAGGCGAAACAGTCTTAACTCCTACATGGATTATCATGGATTCACACCAAGGTTAAACAACAAAAACCTCCATGTCCCATTGAAGGACTCACAAGTTGAAAGACTTACAAAGGCATGTGCTCAATTTCCGAAGGATGTGCAATCCGGATCAGGAGGATCCATGATTTACAGTCACCAAAAAATGAATTGACTCAAATGAACGATCTTTTGGATAAGTAGTAACAAGTGCCACGCTAGTAGTAACAGGTGCATCGCTTCTAGTAACAAGTGCCTTACTAGTAGTAACAAGAAGCTACTAAGTAAAGCTCAATTCTGGCCAAAAGAATGCATCGCTGTTTTTAGGAGAGAAACAACTTGTTCATGAGGCTGCAGGTCATGCCACTGCGAGCTTACTTGAAGCTGTTTCGATCTTGACCAACACTGTTAGACATTCCATGACATTCCAAGAATACTCCTTGTCTTGCTCCTTTTTGGCCGGTCTGGGCGGCAGCCTCGCCTGGGTCGATGGCTTCTCGGCCTCGTCGCGCTTCTCCTTGGCCTCCGATCACCGGTGTGCCCGGGTGGCCAGCTCACATGTCATTGGGAGTGTTTCGATGGAAAAAGTCAAAGGAGACTTGTAACGTGCCTTCAGATTGAAGCCCGCCCAATAACTCTCGAAACTAATCGTTTTGAGACAACTCAAGAAGATAAGAAGGCTTTCAAGGATTCTAAGACAATATTCATGAAAATACATGAACATAAGCAACCCACACATCTTCGAGGATCGCTACAGGCGTTGACGCGTTTTCACGACTGGTCAACGAAGCCTGCGACTCAGCTGTCTGGCATCATGTTCTTTGTCTTGGAGGTGCACACACCGTGTTCATGTCCTTCAACAAACTCCGCTGATGGCACGTCTCAGACCCATTTGCACTTGAGTGACTGCACCTAAAAAGTCGTGGATCGCGGGTTTTCAGATCCGCCCCCAGGATTTCTCATAAACCACCTGATCTGAGACCCTACCAGTTTACAACTGTTTATACAGTGTTTACAAGGGTACTCACTTTGCTTCCGACTGGCTGGTGACACAGGTGAAACTGTGCCAGTGGCATCTCTACACTTCAAGTAGAACGATCTCGGACTTTCACTCAGAACGAGCATGAAAAAGAAGTTCCACCCAAGTGAGTTCCACCCAAATTCCGAAGGACACCGTTTGGGGTCTGGACAACGGTACAAGTCCGCGCGTGTCGACCGTGTCGTCCGTGCCTTGATGCGGCCCTTGGTGACCATCTGCCAACTGGCGCATCAAGGGCAAGTCGGTCACAGGTCACAGCAGATGAAGACAACTGAGGAGCTGCAGCTGCAGCTGCAAAGGAGACTTCGGAGAATTCTTCCAAAGAACTGCAGCAAATCCGCTGCAGTTCAACTCTGCGTGGACTAAATCTGAAACATCGTGATCTGGACTCCACCCCTCAAACAAACAAAGGAATTAGATGTTGAAACACATATGCAAAAACAAACCCAAAACCCATAGGCACCAACATACATGCACCAATTATAGGCACCTGCCGCTCTGTGAGGAGGGACCCAGTCTCAGGATGCCTGCTATTTGGCCAACCGCATCCAACGTGTCCGGAGACCCCAAAAACGGCCCACACGTTTGGCACGTCCCCCATCCCTTTCGGCCTGCCATCGTCCGACCTGAGATGAGAAGTGGGCGGCCGGTGTCACCCGCCAGAGAGATGGATCAATGGGTTAGCTGTTAACTAACCCCCAAGCCGGAAGCCGATGCCTGGAAGATTGGGTGAAGCAAACTTTTCACCTTTCACCTGGCGACACATGTGGGAAAAGACACTCCCCCGAAACTTCTCCCGAATCGGATGGGGCACCCTTTCTTTGAAGTGGTCGAGCGGTAGACCGGCCTGAGTCTACCTGACTTTTGAGAATTTCAAAACGATGCTTCACGGGTGCAGTTTGGAGCGTTGAGTGCAAACGTCGTCATTGTGCGGTCGGACATTGAGCCCCGCAAAAGAACCAGAAAGCTGCGATGGCCATGGCCTTCCTTTCAGAACGGACATTGACATCTTCACGACCATGCCCAGCTTTGGGAGTGCACAAAGTTGGGAAACTTGGGAAACTCGGCTCAAGATGGCAAGCGAGACACGATTTTTCAGCAAGCCCCATCGACTTCACTGCGCGGCCAGTTAGCCTCAAGCCTCCTCAAAAACCAGATGGACCCCACGAGCCCAAGTGCACACATGCTCTCCAAAACAATCGGCCACATTGCTTGACACTCCTGTGCAACACCCTTGTGGGACACTCTTGTCTGACACTCCTGTGGGACATCCAACACCTCCACCAGACCACCCTGCCAACGCCAATCCCACTGTCACAGCGAAGGCGACTGAGGATCTCACGAAACGCTGCGCCTGCACAGCAAAAATTGTCCTCTACACTTCAACATGTTACGTTTCCATGCTACATACTTCACATGAATCTGACACTTCAGGCTTCCATCCAAAATCTCCTCCAAAAAGCTTCCCCCAACCACAAGGCCTTCTCGTTCTCAGTTGAACTGTGGCGGACGGTTGCAAACGGTTACGGCAACACAAAAGCAACGTCGCCCGAATAACGCTCTACACTCAGACTCCCAAACTTAAACGAGAAACCTTTGCTACGCATTCGGGAAAAACGGACGAAGGGACGAAAGGGCCCATCGCACGGCAGGCGGCTCTCTGCGGATCCAACTAGCCACAGCTGGGCCGCTGCGACACTTGGATCCCCATCCTCCCCTTTCAAACGAAGTTCAAGGACACTCCAAGTTCACCACTTGGGCTCCCCACCCAGGTGCATCTCCTTCCACCTTGGCCTCATCCACCTGGGACTCGGCTGAAAGAGATCCGTGAGTTCCAAAGGAAGGGTTTGGAGTCCGAAGTGACTGCTGGCAATAGTGTTTCTTCCATAATCTTCTTTTCCCGTCCTCTGTTCCATTCTTTTTTTCAATTATGAGTTCTTCCTGCTGCCTGCTCCTGCATAAAGGATATGTTTGAAGAAGTGAAAAACGGGAGCGCTGTCAGTCTGATCTTCGGACTGTTGCTGGGTTCAAGCCGAGCGAACGCACATCCTGATCGCATGGAAGCACAAAGTGAGACGGTACAAAACGAGTTTCTCAATTAAGACGCCTGTGTCCTGTAGATGGAAGAAATCCACCATCTGGGATAGAAACAAACATGACAATCTATATGGCCTATACATATATATATATATATACATATATATATATATATATCTATTTTCTTATTGACCCATCTCGCAGTCGGACCACGCGGAATGGGGCTAGAATCATGATTCCTCTTCGAACGTCGAAAAACCATGGAAGTGGCAACTTCCTGGAAAGTGGCAGAGCAGTGCCTCATTGAGGATCTTAGGCAAAGACCTTCAAAGTTGGAGATGCTGCATGTGTGGGTGGCTGCTCGTGCTCGGCCTGCTCCGCCTGCCGGCTATCCTTCCACCCAATTTATGGAGCAGCAAATGCCAGCTGCCTGGGTTTATGAGTCTTTCCTTGACTCAAAGATGAGTTTGACAGGTTCATTTTGCAATTTCCTGGCCCCAAACGCAGCACAGGGGAGCTTCATGGTGTCAACATGACTCAACTTTTCAAAGCCCAACGCACGTGAACAAACACCGAAAGCAACGAGACATGCTCTTAGACCAATGTGGCTGTGGGTCAAACCCAGGAGACTGACTGGTTGACCTACTGACGGGGTCCGCTCGTTCGGGGCAAATGGTGGACTGGTCGGGTTCCTTAAACAACCCATCCCCATAGTCAGAAGGTAATCGTCCACCCTGCCCACTCTAGCGGAACCAAGTGGATGGCACCAAGTAAGCCTTTCCAATGCCGACACCTCAGAGTCCTCGGAGTCCTCGCTGGTGTTGGCCTGCCGTTTCCGCGCGTCCGGTTTGTGTCTGTGTCAGCTTCTTGTCATCTTCCCCATATGGACCGTGTTCTTTCGTCCTCATTTGTCCGTGACATGGGGTGATCTGTTTAGATCTTGCACACTTGGTCAAAAGCCAAAAGCGAATTCCTTTTTGCAAATCAATAGGCCAACGGAGTCGGATCTCTTGCGCTGGGTGGGGCATTCGGCCTGCAACACTTCAACCGTAGCCTGTCATCAAACAGTCCGAAACCGGAGCTTCAGAAAAACGTCGGCGGACCAAACCTGAGGATCTCCGGATCAAATAGGGACAACGTTTGTGTCAGCAGGCGGTTTCTTTCTTTCACTTCCAAGACAGGTTGGCTGAGAAGTCCGGTGTCGAAAAACCCATGTTTTTTCGGTCGATCTGATCGATCGGATCTGCAAACTCTTAGCGTTTTCTTTTTTTCACCTCCCGGTCGTTGGGCCTCGGCCCGATCTGCATCGCAGTCTGCCTGGGAGTCGTCTTAGCCGGCGGAACATCCCAGGTCGCAGCCTCTCTTCTTGCCAGGGGGAGCTTCGAAAATGCTTCCAAAACCCTTTAGATTGGTGGATTCAAAGGGTGAAGTGGTTGGTGAGTCTGCGCATTTAGCTGACATGGGGCCCAACATGGACATGGAGCTGTAATGAAAGCATCCACCATAGGTCTGCCTGGAACTATCAAAAAGGGGCGGAACTAAGGGACAAATCCTGCACCTCGTTCTCCTCAGGAACTTGGTAAGCAGATCCATGATGCAGTTCTGGCAAGTGGGTATGATCTAAAAGAATGTGTAGGCCAAAGGCCTCTGTGAAGCATGAGGCGTGAATGTTGCTCTACTAATGAAGGAACCATGTCTGCCGAATCCGCGCGATTTTCCACTTGTACAACACGGAAAGTGAGCGTAGAAGCCACCAGTGGGCTTTATAAAGGACAAGTGTCTTAGCACTGAAAAAGCTACACAGGTGTCTTAGCACTCCAAAAAGGGTGGGTGCCAAGGCCGGTGTGCTTTCAAAACTCTTGCAGCTTTGAAGGGGATTGGAGAATCAGCCGAATTGGGTTTCTGCTTCCCAAGTTCGGACACAGCTTGGTGACGCTCCTCCAATCTCCATCTGCCAGGGTCCAAGGCGATGTCCCATCGGCGGACACTGAACTGCTGCAAAGAGAAGAATCATTAACCCTAGGGCTCCAACTACCCTCATGAGGAAGGCGTTTGGGGTGGGTGGGAAGGTCTGTTTATTCCATCGGAGGAGGTGCGATTGGTGCCCTAGGGTATTGCAAGCTCCATCACACACACACCATGTTCCATGGGATATCACACGCACCGTCACGCACCCATGAGCTCAAAGACCTTGCCGGCCATGGTGATTCGATGTAAATCTTTTTTCCGGTTGCATGGATCTGTTTGGATAGCAAGTCAGAAAGACTTCCTGGTGAATTAGCTTTTCTGGGAGAACTACTCCAGGGTCTGATCCCCAAACCTGTTTCTTTTCCTGTTCTACCATGAGATTCAATCCTGTTCCGATCCATGCTCACAAACTGACAATCTCCCGCGTCACCACTGTGCGAGCCCTCGTGGAAACGGATTCTTCCGTCTTCTCTGAGAGTTGAAACTCGAAGAATAATGCACTGGTCACATCACTCACTGCTCCCTGTTGGATAAATGCTCCTCCTTTTCCAGTTCCATGGATAGCCTTGCGATTTCTCTTTCTCTCAATGAAGTGCTCAAACTTTTGTGGATGCCTAGCAATCCTCGTCATGAAGCGTTGGAAGTTCTCTTTATGCAAGTCTCTACAAGAGGACACTTGTGCTGACCAGCTTCTGCTTCTTTGGCTCCAGGAAAGCAGCTTGGACACATCGCTTCGCTCACGGGAGATGGCGCAAGGGATGGCAAGCGGCCCGACTGCCCGCTCCAGCTACACACTCTTGGGCCCCCAAAAGGCTGCCGGTTTTCGCAGTTCGCGCGGTTCCCCAACGGATGTGTAGAATGGTATGATCTAAACAAACAAACAAACATCAATTCAAGAAACATCGAAGAAAAGGATATAACAAGAAGCTACTAGGAACAAGGGCATCGCTACTAGGAGCAAGGACGCTTCTAGGGGCTCCTGGCCTTACTACTAGGAACAAGAAGCTACTAAAAAGTGAGATGTCCAAACGATTTCATTCCGCCGGGCCTCCACAGGTTCCGGCTCGCCAGCAGGCTCCTCCTCACCCTAGCGAGTGTTTCAAACGAGGGTCGTCCTTCTCTCTCGTCGTCTCCAGTGCGAACGACCGCCCCAAACACGAATTTTCTGAACTTCCCTTTGTTCCTAGTAGCGTCCTTGCTCCTAGTACCGATGCCAGGAGCCCCTAGTAGCTTCTCGTTACTAGCCGTCTTCTTGCCTTGTTTGGCAGGTCGCCGGGGCGCTTTGCCTGTTAAAAGGGTCATTGGCCTTTCAGGGTCTTCACTGGACCGCTGTTGTGAAGAAGGTCTTGGCGGCCACCCTGGTCTAGGCCAATGCTCTTGGAAGGCATGTTCGTGATTCGACACATCGGAGGTTGGAACATGAATGTCCGTTGTTTTACTCATTGACCATAGTCGCGGCCAGATTCAACAGCCTGCCTGAACCTTGGTTGGAGACCATTGCTTGGCAACTCAAAAGACACTTGTTTTTACGAGTTGAAGGGTCTTTGTGAGTTCTCCAGAACCAGTCACGAGGTGTTGGAGAATTCCATCCGAGGGCAGCTATTCGATCGAGTGAGACGTGGGTCATGGCTGGAGAATCGTTTCCACTGGCCGTGGGTATTTCCTGGTGATAAAGATCATCTTAAGCAGGTAGAACTACGTGGGCCCGCAGCTGCAGCTCTTTTCCATGTTCCATTGCTGCGTCCATACCCACCCCGGCCACCCGAATACTCTCTCTCCCGGAGTCACCATACCAGCAACTCGATTCCAGGTCTTGAATGGGTTTGTTTTCGAAGGATTTCAAGCTGCTTTCGCATCCCTTTCGCCATTTAGCATGACATTCTTTGCACTTTTTTGGTGCTGAAACTCTCTCCTTCTTGTGCTTCTTTGCTGCTTCAAGGAAGAACAAACAGACCTTGACACACACACACACAAGGGAACATATAGATACCCTCCCTCCAACAAACAGGGCAGTGGATGGCATCTCTTTTGGTGTTCGAAAACAGTCATCCGAACCATTTTCCCATCCACGTTAGACCGGGGAAACGAGTGTTTCCCCACGCTCTCCGGCCGCTCCGCTCGGCCGAGCCGCCGCCTTCGCCGCCTTCGCCTGAACCGGTCGTCCCGGAGGGTTCGTCCAATTCGGACCTGTTTCTACTAGCTTCTTGTTGCTACTAGCAAGGCACTTGTGACTAGTAGCGATGCACTTGTTACTAGTAGCTTCTGTATATTGATGCCATGGCATCAAGGTTTGCCATGTCAAGGTGTCAACGTCTTTTTTCACATCGAAGGAACCAGGATGAAAACGCTTCATTTGTTGGTGGTCAGTGGTCGCAGTAGCGATGAATTTGCTGGTCTCCTCTTGATGAGCGATCGGACGCTACTAGGGGCTCCTGGCCTTACTACTAGGAGCATCCTTACTACTAGGGGCTCCTCATCGTATTCTTGATCACAGCCATGACCCAGGACAACTGCTGGTCTTAGTGCATTGGATCATGGAGGGATGGGTTGTCCAACCTGGAGCCGCAAAAGGCGTCAGCATGGGCTGTCGTCATATTTGCAAAGGCTTATGGGCCAAAACCAGTTGACCCCAGCCTTCGTAACAGCGGCAACACGCAAGGACTTCAAGCTACCTCAAGAACGGACATATGGGCAGTGACATGGGTCGTGGTTATCCCTGCCGAGATTCCCAAATGTCACATACCTGAGAAGCTGCAAAACGAAAGCCAGCGTTTTTACTTTCGAGTGTGCTTTCTCAGGCCACCCCCGAACCCCCCTTCTTACTCAGCTGGCGCCTTGCGAGGTATGGATACCCAGGGTAGCTA